GGCTACTCCTCCCAGCTTCGTCTCATCAGCAAACTTGCTGAGGGAGCACTCTGTGCCTTCATCCAGGTCATTGATGAAGAAATTGAACAGGACTGGACCAAGGACTGACCCCTGGGGGACCCCGCTAGCTACAGGCCTCCAACTAGACTCTGCACTGCTGATCACCACTCTCTGAGCTCTGCCATCCAGCCAATTCCTAATCCACCTCAGCATCCACTCATCTATCCCATACTTCCAGAGCTTGCCCAGGAGGATGTTGTGAGGGATGTTGTCAAAAGCCTTGGATATATAAAAGCCTATATTTCTCCATATATAATTGAATTATTTATTCACCACAGTTAAAGCTTAGAAAACTCTCTCTGAGAAGTAAAGGAATAGTCAATGACTAGTATTTAAACTGTCCTGTGAATGCACAAATACACTCTTGCATGTGTTCAGGCTGCATTCCCATCTCCAACACATTTCAGTCTCATCTAGGCTTTCTTGTTTTCCCTAGTTCTGACTCAAAATTCCCCTCTTCTTCTTTTGGAAAAAGTTTTACAGCTCAGCTGTGTTTTGTGCTTTGTTAAGCTCAAAACTCATGGTTCAAAGAGGTGGAATGTTTTTTTGGAGGAAACAGGTATTGAGCTGCTTAGCTATTCTTTTACTCTTCTTGTAACCACTGTAGAGATACTGTTTTTTTCAGAGTTGCTTAGTTTTTTAAGATATGCAGTCCCCTTAGGGATTTATTTAGCCTTTTCTGAGGTCATTTTCTTCTCAGTAAACTTTATTGTTATGTGCCCTATCTCTTGTCTATTCCCTTGTGAAAGGTCTTTTGCCTAATTTGTATACTGATCTGCATTTTTTGCCTTTTCCTCTTTACAAATGCTGATGAAGAATATTAAGACTGTGTGTGTGTAAGCAGTAGGTGTAGGTTTCTTCTAAGTTCAACCAGAAGAGTTAAATGGATTGTGCTCTGTATGTCTTCTTCAATCAACCTTGCCTTTCAATGCTGGAGGTGATCCAGTTTGAAAGTTCACATACGCTGAGTGGAGGAAAAGGACACAGCTCTCCTCCAGTTCTGTGGGAGCTAATCCCAGGCCAAGAAGCAATAGGGGCTCTGTCAATGTCTGGTAAGGCCCAGTAAAACTCTTGGCAGAACTTACTAGGTTGGACATCACCCAGTGCCAACATGATTTTGTTGCTTTTGGACTCGGACCAGTCTTGAAACATTGCACCACCCTGTACCATGAGGATAAATGAGCTACAGCTGTCCTTCGCATAGTATTCCACTGAATATTTGGATATATCCAAAATAAATCACATGACAGATCTCTCATCTGTGTTGTGAACTCATGATGTTCTCATCTGTGTCACATCACATATGACACAGATGAGAACAAAAGATTTTCATTGGCTATACAAATGTGAAGTCTGTATAATGAGCTGTTTATGGATTATTACGGATGGAATAAAAAATTCAGGGAGCATTTATGAGACAGAAATTCCTGTTTTATAGAGAATATTAAAGATGAGTGAAGTAATTTAAAACTTCAGGAAAAAAGGGTTTAAGGAATTAAATAGTTACAGATACTTGTGATTTAAAAACCTTTTAACAGTCACGCATAAAACTAGAGTCTAGAAGTAGTCACCTAGGGACCATTGCAATTATTTCTTTTCATAGTTCTGTTTTGTGGTAGAAATAGATAACAAGGGAATGAAATCTTCCATTATATTGCCACTGCGTATCAGTGATTCAGGCACAGAAATAATATGAACAAAATGACAAGAAATGTATTAGGTGAGTCTTTTTATTGAAAGGTATATATTAGCATTTATAATAATCTCTTATTACAGATTCAACCAACTCTGGAGACAACATGTACACTTTGATGAATGCAGTACCACCTGGACCCAACAGACCTAATGTAAATATAAATCTAGTTATATTGTTTTGAATTATACAGCCTCGTTTTATCCAAACTGCTACATTTCCATTACATATGATTAATATACTAAGTTTTCCATTATAACGGGTGACACCTAAGTGTCATTTTCAGTACTTTTAATGTTTTGCAAATCGGTCATGCTAATACATACAGAGTAATCATTGGAGCCTTTTAGTTTGTTTGTTTTTTTGTTTTCAACGAAAAGACCTTTAAAATGTGTGCATGTGAATCTTGGAGATAACTTAGTTTGTCACAGTGCAGTAGACTTCAGTACAGTGCAACCATTCTAGGAGCTGCCATCAAACATTAATTTCTGCAGGATTTAAACTGTAATTATAAAAAGTCTCTACTCCTGGAGAGGGAGATGCAAACCACTGAAAGGGACCCAGTGTTATGTTGCCCTACCTCTCCATGAAAAGTGATATATTTAGTATCTTAATAATAAGATAATTAAGAAGAAATTAACTTTCCTGTTTATCTGAATAAGGTGTTAAGAATGAAAATTAATGATAACATGCAAGTATTTGCCTCCTTAACTCCTCTACTGTCTATGATTAGTAATTCTAGAACTGACAGAAAATATGGATTTGTAGAACTTGTTTCTTTTCTCATCTATTTCTGTGCCTTCAGTTTAGTTTAGTTGTATTTATCTGATTACTACAATATTTTGTCTATGTTGTGGGCCTTTTGAAAAAATGTCCAGTGGAACTTTAAGAATAAAGATATTTAGATATTGCAAAATCAGTGAATTTAGCAAATGCACTGTAATGCTAATGCATTGAATTTAAGGTTAATAGCTGAAATCTGATAGAAATTGTTCATATTGCAAAAATAATGCAGAGTACTCCAGTATAAGCAAGGTGGGATTTGAAAAATATTACTTAATCATAGAAGTGTGTAGTAAAATTGTCTTTAACTTCAAAGAGAATATAGTTATTAACATATTGGAAATTGACACACAAAGTATTAAAAATATAGCATAAATCATTTCTAAGTCATATGCCAGCCTATACAGATGAGATTCTCCAAAAATCATGAGGGCGACATTAGAAGAAGTAAACAAAGGCAATAACAAGCTTTGCAGTCTTCACTTTCACTGTACTTTCACATACAGAGATGGAGCTGTGCATTTTTTCTTTGCTATTTTTCTGGGAAATGTTTTTATTAGATTATCTACAATAAATTTGTATAGTAACACTAGTTTTTATGTCTGATCCTTTTTTAGTTTCCAATGGGGCCAGGGTCAGATGGACCTATGAGTGGATTGGGTGGAATGGATTCACATCATATGAATGGATCATTAGGTAATGATAATAAGTATTATGAACATTGTGAATTTTCAATGGCTAGTGCCATTTTCTGTCACTAGTTCTCTGAATTATGTGTAAGACTATGTAAAAATCTTATAGAAACTAAGAAGCTGTATATATAACAAAACATTAAATATTAAGATACTTTTTAAGCATATGAATTGGCATATATAGTGCATCTCTGGAAGAAAATTACCGAATGTTATCTATATAACAGTAAAACAGTTGACCAAAGCTATTCTAAAGCCATATCATCACAATAATGTAGAAGTGATGGCATAAGACCCTTTTCTCCTTACCTCCCTTCCTCTTTCAAACACTTGAGAAGATCTCTTTGTGACATGCTGGTGCCAGGTCTTACCAAGTACATGGAAATAAGTTATTACATGTATTGATCTATGTGTTAAGCGGCTGTAATCCCAACAGCCTGATGCCACTTGTTCCAACATTAGCCTTTTGTCTCTTAAATATTAGTTTTATTATTCCCTCTCCACAAGCAGCTTCATGGTGATCATTTAACACACCAGTAAAGAACATACATTCTCATGTGGGTATGCAGAGGCAGGAAGAAGACTGTATAGTTTGACTTTTGAGACAGTGATTTTTGAAGGGTGCTTATCTAAGGGAGAAAAGCCTTTCACATGTCTACAAAACATGCACTGCTTTATCCTCTGACTAGCCTAGTGAACATTTTTTCTTACTGTTTGCTGGAAGGATGAATGATGCTTGAAAGAGATGTGAGACAAGCTGCAACTCAATAAATTGTATTTAAGCCTTCCTCTTCCTTACTGACAAGATAAATAAATCCTTTGCATTTGTTGGTGCTTATAGCATAACATCAGGCCAGTAACTTTGAATCCAGCTTGCTTCCGTGTTCTCTTTGCTTCTACCTGCACTTAAGCAGTGTAGGTCATGCAGGCAACGACAAGGGGAAACGAAAGGGGAAAGA